GTGTAAAGGCGTTGTGTTACTTTTCTTCTGCTACTAACATATATATCATTCTACGTGTTTCTCTCTGTGTTTTTGTGCACCTTTAGGCGCTACTAAGCATGGAATATCTTCAGTCTCCGCAGCCTGGCGGCCCTGGCGCCTGGAAGAAAACGTCAGCGTTCAGGCAGCTGGTGTCTACTCCGTGGCCTGTGAAATAATGGTCCTTATGGTGCCCGAAACAGTCCATGCCTTTGCAGAGTGTCTCAGACTCCAGTGGGTTATACCTCTTTTTCTGACCTTTTTTCTGCCTCCTCAAAGTATCCTATGTAAAAAAGCAATGGAATTTCTCGTTTGTACACACTATTACAGGGTATTGTACTGCCATTTTTTCGAATCCTTGTCAGGGAGCTATAGAGGGGTGCTTAGAAGGCCAAAATGTACAATAACCGATTATTTACAAATTTTAAGTACGGGTGATTTTCCACAATCTTCCAATTTTTCGCGCGCCCGCTGTTGGTCTAGTAGGGATTCGTGATAATATTGAACTGTAGAGGGGTCCTCTGAAGGCCAACGTCTACGATAACCATTTAAGTCAACTTATTAGGCAAAATGACTTTTTAAATTAACCATGGGAATAAACACTTACTTACTAATGTTAAGTAGTGTGAATTTCCACAACTTTCAATTTTTCGTTCATTCATCCTTCATCCAGTTGGGGTTGGTGATGCTATTAAAAAATGTACCTCAGTGACTTCGCCCAAGGTCAACGAACACCCGCCAACTTAAACGCGTAACTTTCTTAATTTACATGATTATTCCGCTATGATTTGTCCCCACGTATGCCCCACCCATTCTACCACAAGAACACATAATAGTAACTGTATGATTGGGGCTCCAAGGCTTCAAATCATTATGTCGGGTAGGGATAAGACTCAATACCTCTCAGTGTGATATCTGCTCGAATACTCGTCTCCCCGACAAAACATTAAGTCGTCTACAAACGATTTAGTGCCGCCATGCTCATACCACCATGGTCTAGTGCATGTGGTTATGGTCACAGCTCTGGCATAACATTACCAGACCGACCAGGTTCGGTGAGGCACGCTGGCCCAATCCGAATAAACCTAACCGAAAGTAATATATCTGTACAATCACGTGGCAAGCCAAACTGTATTGTCGCGCATTTGTGGACGAGCTCCAGACTTAGAGACGTTCAGC